GAAAATGCCATTTAATGGTGTCCGTAAAATGACAATTTTTCAGACATTGCCTATAATCTGGCATTATTTTCACCGTTATTTCAAAGTCAAAAAATTGTCATTATAATGGCTGTTAAACGCCAATTTTTATTCGATTTTTACACAATTAACAGGCCATTTTTTGGCATACAGTTAACAGGCTGTTAATGGACAATTAAATGTCAGTTTTCGTCGACCTGGGTTATAGTGCGGAAAAAATGTCTGATAAAAGTCCGTCATTAAATCTGGTCTATCCGTTATATTCATGGCAAAAGAATTGTGAGTTTTACGTTTTTGTATTCATATCACTGTACTAGATGAAAAGGTTATAAAATGCTTTGTTCTATTACCACTTTCTACATAAAATGAAACAGAATTCGATAATCAAAGTGGGTTTTGCACAGTGAAATATGGTATAAAATTATTCTTTATGTACCGTATACAAATGTTTTGATTAACAAATTATTTGGTTACATCTCTCGATCGAGTTTTGTGAATAAAACGATCACATACTGATCAAACAGTTCCTTGATATTTGATGTTTATTTTTCCAAAATCCGTGACAAAATATTCACTGGTATTGTTCTTGAAATTAACGACATAGAAAAACTTACATATTCAGGATATTTGTTCTTTAATTTATTTTCCGAATTTTATTAAATCGACAAGAATACGACTATTAGGTTACATGTATACGTCTAGAAAGAGCGACAACCTTTAAGTAGATTATTTAATTCTAGTTTCTGTCAGAAATTTATTTTTGATCTCAGTTAAGCATACACGTATATGAAATAAGAGAAAAAAAAGATAGAGTAAATAATAAAACAATTATGTTTGTTTGTTAGTGATTGATTGAGTATCCATCACCATTGCAGTAGATGTAGGCACACAAGTTTAAGTAATTGTTTCTTAGATGCTTTCGATTAAAACACTTGGTAAATATTCTCGTGTTAGATCTAACAACGTTTTTGGTATCCAATGTATTCCATTCTCGACATGTTCAAATGGTTCACGTATGGCTAGGAATTTTCCAACTGAATACCACCATCTCAATGGAGCCAGAATATTATGTGCTAAATTGTGACTAACAACATTTGAATAGCATGATGCCGCTATATCATTGACAATCAATGTACCTGAAAAAGCAAACAATCATATGATGAAAAGTTGAATAGAACTACTGTATTACATTTTCTTTTACCTTTACTTGTCATAGGAGTATAATATCCTGTTTTATATTCTTCAGTAACATTTTTAACATGCACTGGTTCAAGTTGACCGTTTAAATTGATATAGACGATATCATGGGATTTTACGCGATTAGCTGGAATAAATAGTTCATTTTGATTTTTAACAGCGATAAAATGATTACCAGTTAAACTAAGTTTATGATTTGTCAATGTCTCAATTGTGTAAAACAATGCTGAAATAAACCAATTAATAATATTTTTTCTATCATTCGTGCTTTAGTAAGAATACTCACCTGGTTTTTTTGGTTGACTATCAAGCATCATGACAACTTCATCTTCAACCATTTTGTTATCAGAATCCATTACATATACATGATCACCAGCTCGAAGTTCACTTATTGGTTTATACTCACCATTCACCATCGAAACTAGACCATCACCAGCAAAACATTTTGGATTACCTGAACAGAATAGTACAATTATTATGTCAGTTCAATTTTATACTAGCTATTATTTTTGTTGACTTACGATGTAACGGACATTCATCTGGTTCAGCAACGCCTGGATTAACACAACACCATTGAGCTAAATTTTGTAATTCTGTAAAACCACCTTCAGCCGCCTATTCATAAACATATCATCAATCTATTAGTCTAATTTTTCTCTAATTTCTGAAGCTTCTTACCCAACCACCAATACAATTTCTTGTTTTTGTTTTAAAACATTCCATATATCGTTCGGCAAGATTACAGAACAATTTTAAATTTCCTTTAGCAGCTTGAATAATTGCTTGTACATCGAGCTGAGCACATTCAGCTAACTGAACAGGATCTTGTTCAACTGGACATGGTTGACCGTTAACTATTGATAATAACACCAGAACAACAAATGCTGGAAATCTATAAGTAAAGATTTGTATCAAAAGGGAGAGATTTAAGTTAATCAAAAATGTAAGTCAACATATGTTTAAATAATGGACCATCATTTATAAATAATAACCAAACATTACTTACATAGTTTGTATTGCTGCCATCAGTAATCACTCAGTTGCTATTCTAGTTTAAATGAGAAGTAGTCTATTTTTTTTTTATGATATCTCTCTGATGCTGCTGCTGCTGAACTTTATAAAATGATGGTTTGTCTTCAATGATGATGTTGATAGATTCCTCTAAGTATTTTTCTTTTTTTTAAATATCGTTCATCCCACAATAATGTCAATATATTCGCTTTTTTATCTTATTTTAATTTTTAGAATTTTCTTCTACTAACCGTTGTGGGCAATGTATAAAAAATCAGAGCATAATTTACCTTTCCTATTACTTAATCATCATTCGTAAATAGTTTCACAATAGATATTCAAACATTCGATTATAACATAGTGATACTTTTATTTGCTTTTTAAAAAAAAGGTATCAATTTGAGGAAGAAAAAGTTTTGAATGGAAAATCATGACAAATTAAGCACAAACAGCAGTTATATCTCATTATCATAATTAATTAGAATCAATATTTTCATTCACCATCCTGTTAATAAATATTTCAAAACAATTAATATTTACGTACATATTTATGTGTGCTCAACACATATTGATAAAAATTCTTGAGCCTTAGTTTGAAAAACCATATGATTCCACTCATCTTCTACTATTAATGATACTAAAATAATTGAGACACATTTAAATCTGAATACTATCCTCCGCATAAGTCATCATGAAAGATCGTATAGTAAAGTGAGAAATGAAATGTAGTAATGAATCGTTACTCTGTCTCTTTTGTGTTTAAAACTAATGAATACCGGTCAAGAATGATGTTGATTTTTAAACTCGATGCTGTTTGTAGTTATCCAATTTGTTTTACAACCGATTGCACAAATCATAAGAGTCAGTCCAAGTTTCGAAGTCCTGTTTGTGAAAGCTAAACACGAGTAAACGAAGTAGTTATAAAAATATGTTCGCCTCCAGTTCTAATTAGCCCAAGTGTCAAAAAGTGAGTCCAATCACTGACTAGTTGTCTTTTTTTACTAGTCTTTTGCTTGTTGTTGTTGTTTGATTTTGGCTAGTGATGGCTGATCACTTTTCCGAGCAAAAATTGACTAGTGAATAATGAACTGGCGAGCGACTAGTTCCTTTTTTGTAAGAAGATTGGGTACTCAGAACTTTTAGGACTAGTCATGAATGGAATCACCGAAAAATTTTCCTCTGTTGCTTGAGTAGGCTATTCAGTAACTAATAAAATAATTGTAAAACAAATTTATTAAATGTCAACGATTAAACTGAGTACATTCATACTGCAACTATTTCTAAACTTGTTCTTTTTTCAATTCGTGTGTTATTCAATGTTCTGTACATTTAAGATCATCTCGCAACTATATGTTCAAATAAAAATAAAAAATAAAAATTTTAAACGTTCATACTGTCAGAATCAAAGAATAGTGACTACATGGCGCTTGTTTGCCTTTCCATGTTGTTCATATCATTAAATAATAATAGTAATAATAATAATAGTCCATCGCTGCGCACAAAATTCAACGCCATACAAAATTATTCTACAAGTGACTAAAAAATTTTCTCAAATGTCTGTTTATATGATTGCTTTGATGGAACTAATACCTGGAGAGAAAGATGTTACACGACTGACTAACCACTCATTATTATCAATTCAAAATTATAACGTACTTTTACAAATAAAATTTGAATATCAAGTCGCAAACTGTGAAAAAAGAGAAACTTTATTGATGAATGAGGAAAAAAACATCATTAATAAATATGTTTTAGAAAGGTATTAATTGAAACATTTTGAATTGTATTCGAAAAAATAACTCTGTTAATGAAATTGAAAATAGTCAGGGCTGAATTTTAATAAAGGATAAGAGCAACGCACCAAAACGAGAAGTCGTATTAGCTAAAAAAAGTGCCTTTGTTGATCTGTCTGTTACTAATAGATTAATTTAATTAGAAGTTTTATTAGTATGTCAGATGATGGTTTAGCTAAACACCCTTTACATTACATGCACTAACATTATCTTTGTAGTATTTTACTCAAATATCGTTTGTTTTCTTACATAAACAGCAGTGATGAATATAAATAACAACTTCTTTTTAAAGAGAACTAGTCATTTTTTTCACACAGAAGTACAGTGCGAGATACTGAAAGAAGTAGTGGACCATGTTTCATAATAACTTTCAGTTTCTTTTTCTTAAGGGGGAGTAAAACATGCTAAATGGAGATTGACATTGACATTAGATAAGATTCCGCGTGGTCGATAACCTATGTTTCCATTTATTTTTGGGATCACAATGACTTAAAAAATATGGATCTCGAAACTCCTAGAAAATCTACCGCTACGTTTAAATCACAAATTAAGAGTTCGTTGAATTTTTATGTTGAAGGGGACAATTTAGCCTATATATTCTTCGCAGAAAACAAAAATATTTGTCGAACAAATATTAGAACGCTCAGCCTTGGCTATCGAATGACAAAAACCAAATATCTCTACTTTCTTTCAAACGTTATTCAAAAAAGGCTTTTGTACTGTATTTTGAAATAGATAGTGATGAAGTAAAATTTTGAAAAAGACATTTCAGGTATTACTCTTGATTCAAGAGTAAACAGAATCTTTCATACATTGTTCTAAATATAAGTAAGAAATAGCGGCCATTTACACTTAATTCGGGAGTATAAATAATCCAATAATTTCCACGCTTTCAGTTATTAAGATTTTTTCTTATATCTGAAGTTGAAGGTAATGATGCGTCGATAGAAAGAACAAGAAACGGTCTCTGTAAGCAAATGACTCAATATGAGTTCTAACAAAAATGATCAGGAATACTCGACATATTCGTTTCTCATCTTTCAACATGTTTGACTGTCAAAACGTACTTCTAGCCGACTGTAGAGAAAAGCCATTCTACACTTACCGTCATCATTGCATTCAAGCTCATCCACTGTGTTCCTTAACCTTTTTCTGTTCGGTTTGAAGAACCTGATTAAAAAGCAAAATATGGGAAAACAGAGAATTTTCCACACTTCAAAATTAACTATAAATAATCTTTCCAGAAATATGTAAGTCTAAAGCGATTCTCGAAATATCTTCAGATCGTCTGTGTTCTGATTAATGTCTTTGGTTCTCCAATAAAGATGTACAACCAGATCCGTACCCAACCCGTATCCGTACCAGAGACGTAGCCAGCATTTGTAGAAGAGGTAGACACAAAAAAATTTCTGATTCCAAACATAGTTGTTTCCCCTCTTTTTACCGTTCTGAAGCACTTCCGTCGCCACTCACGAGGGAACATCCCAAGTGAGGCACTCCGATTTTGTTCAAACCTGGCAGTTGATATGTAATCAAGAGTGCTGATTACGAATATGATAGCCGTTTGTGCCCATAGACCTATCCTAGCGCTTCTCTGGAGAACCGGTTTTCTAGAAATTCCCTGAAGCCCTAGCAATGTTTATCAACATGTTGGGATTGTAGCCTGAAAATTTTGCATCAAAGTGAGACGCTTCCCAGCTCTCCACGACCTTTCTTTGCAAAATTACAGAATTTACAAGAGACGCCCGAAATTAATTTTTCTTTTTCTTTCTATATCTCTAACCTGACAATGAACATTTCGGGCGTCTCTTGTAAATTCTGTAATTTTGCAAAGAAAGGTCGTGGAGAGCTGGGAAGCGTCTCATTTTGATGCAAAATTTTCAGGCTACAATCCCAACATGTTGATAAACACTGCTAGGGCTTCAGGGAATTTCTAGAAAACCGGTTCTCTAGAGAAGCGCTAGGATAGGTCTATGGGCACAAATGGCTATCATATTCGTAATCAGCGCAATTGATTACATTTAAATTGCCAGGTTGCCAGGTTTGAACAAAATCGGAGTGCCTCACTTGGGAATGTTCCCTCGTCAGGAAATTTGCCCTTTTCCTAAGCACATTCTAATTTTTTCTACGAGTTAAGAATAAGAGAAATACATTCTTAAATCACATGCTAAAAAGCTGGTAGATTATGATGAAACAGAACATTTTTTGCGTAACGCATGGATAAGAGAGAATCAATCAATTATGACTACCAGTACACATCAGAAAATACCGAACGAACAAGAAAAATGTTTCTTTTCAAGCTGCTTAAAAGCAGCTTGAATTTTTTTTGTTTTTAGTTAGAATAGAAAGTAATACTTTCTATTCTAACTAAAAACAAAAAAAATGCAAACCTTGGAGGAAATAAAACTCCAAGGAGTGGGTGCAGACCTATCCTGGGCCTGTGAGTGGCTACGTTGCTGATTCGTACGCGACCCGATCGAAAGGCTGGGTATGAGTATGAAGTTGTCGCGTACGGGTCGGAAAACGGTACCTGTGCACATCTCTATTCTCCAATAGTACTATCTCCTAACAACGACAAAATAGCAAAAATAATGTTAACATCTCTGAAGCAACAAATTCGAATTCGACTAAAAGTGGATAATAAACAATAGAGGTGGATAGAGCCTGATGTTAGCAATTTCGTGTCATGTCCAGCTTAACATTAAATAAAGTACGAAGCTTAACCTTCGGTAAGTGATTCTAAGATATTAATATTCTAGATGAGCGTAAACACATTAACAGTACCCTTTAAAGTCTTACTTACGACTCAGAAACGTATTCTTTCACCATCATCTGACCTAAAAAGTACTGATACGCTCATCTATTACCTATAAACTATGGCATTTCAGGAACATTTCAAATGAAACGAGCTTGTAGTAGTTATGGAAAAGAACATTGCTCAACAACAGATCTAACAAAGCATGCAAATTATGATGTACAGTTTTTCGAGAATCGCCTTAGATTGACATATTTTTGAAAAAGATTATATATAGTCAATTCTGAAGTGTGGAAAATTCTGTTTTCCCATATTTGCCTTTTAATCAGGTTCTTCAAACCGAACAGAAAAAGGTTAAGGAACACAGTGGATGAGCTTGGATGCAATGATGACGGTAAGTGTAGAATGGCTTTTCTCTACAGTCGGCTAGAAGTACGTTTTGACAGTTAAACATGTTGAAAAGTGAAAAACGATGTCGAGTATTCCTGATCATTTTTGTTAGAACTCGTATTGAGTCATGCTTACAGAGACCGTTTCTTGTCCTTTCGAAGAAAACATTTCCCAAAGGTAGCAGATTCCTTCCCTCACTTTCAATCGTGACGGCCCTACATGAGAGAAATAAAATTCTCAGATTCTTTGAGGATTTTAACTTGAACTAATAACGATATCTCTCGACTGTCATCGATCATAGCTAGTTTACATAAAGGCTCCTATGAAATTGCCTAGAATTAAAATGACCGGATGTATTAAGAAGCTTTATCAACGAGGTTTCACCGGTACAAAAACGAAGCAGGTGGAGAAAGAAATGATGAAAGAAATTCTATCTGAAGTTTTATTTGTGTATTTTATGACATTTATTCTCGTTTTTTAAACAATGTCAAAATTTAATAGCAAAAAGTGAGAAAAGAAAGTTAAGTTCAACAGTTACAGACAAATGCAACATACACAAAATATGCTATTTTGACTTATTGTATCATTCATACATATTCACAGCTCATATCAAAATTAAAAAACAGGACAAACGTGCGTTGAATAGGTATAGAGACAGCAGGAAAAGAAAACATAGCACAAGAATTAACACAAAATTGCAACAAAAAGAAAAAAAAGATATTCAAACAAAAAAAGAAAAATACAACAAAAAATAAATCCTAATTTCTATCATTTGACTCCATGCATGTAACGAAGAAAGAAAAAAAGTAAAGTGAGGGACGGAAGCGGACGAAATCATAAATTTAATTTAATGAATTACATCTTCGCATGAGGAATATCTATCCACTTGAGAACAAATAATTGATCCTAACAAAAAAAATTATTGAAATTTAAAATACAAATGAGAAGTGAACTATCATGCTGTCATATAAATGAAGAATAGTGAAATCAGTAGTTTAATTGACAACAAGAAAAAGATGATCAATACATGAAAACTGTCAGAACAGCCACAATGAAAATTTGTTCTAAAAGACGAAAATGTAAATACACACATCGTAGTACGTGTTAACACGAAACTAACGAAACAAAAAATTCATTTTTTTAACACATACGAAAAAATTTATATCACTGTATAACAAAAAAGAAAAAGATCAAGAACCCAAATAATGGTGGGTTTTAAACAATAACAAAGAACTGCTATACTATATACAAAATGTTAAAGTAATTGATTAAATGATAAACATTGTCGTAATCGTGTACGACGATGATCCGTAGTTTTTTCGGATTGTTTCGAAACCGATCGATAAAGTCGACATTGATCTTGAAACTGTTCGTCTAACATTGTACGATATGATTGTGGTGTACATAAATCTTTATGATCAGTGTAAAATTTTTTATAACCCTGATCAAGTAAATAACATTCAGGATAATAAAGACGAGGATAACAATGCATATGAAGTTTACGATCTTGTTCACGCAAAAAACGATATCTAAACACAAAACAAAATCTCTACTTATTATTACTAAATTTTAGTTTTCTATGTTTTATATCCAGATGAGGGGTTCAAAGAACAGATTTAAATAGTGTTACGAGAGATACTTACAATCTTGGTCCACGTTCCGCTGAATATTCACAATGAAAAATGATAATGACACGTTTATTTGAATCATTTGGAATACGTGGTGTTTTTAATACATGTTCAATAATTCCCTCATTTGTATAAATATTTCTAGCTGTTATTATATGACCACCATCATATTCGTATGGATAACGAGCATCAATTATATAAAAACGTTCAATCTCAGAACTATAAACATTATTTAACAAATTACGAACCTAAAAATAATGTTCTATTTAAGTCAAATGTTATGTATATGTATGCATGATCTACATACTGTATCGCCCGTAATCGACGGAAGATCAGCATGTTTTGCGAATGGTAATGTTGGAAGCAAATAGGATTTTGTACGATCAGCAATGTAACTATGTTGTTGTAAACCTAAAGAAAAAGACTGTATAGTAGGGGTATATAAGAAGCGCACATTTGATAAAAACAAATTTATGTTTGATTTTTGACTCTCACATATTTAACCTAATAAAATGAGTTTTAGTCGAGTCTTTTTTTCAATCTAACAAAGCAAATCTAAACAAAGCATTACCGATATCGACTGACTCCATCACTTGTTGTTCTGTATGAGGCATCATATAATGAGAACGTAACGATTGTCCATCAATTAAATGTTCGTTTAAATTTAATCCATTTTCATCCTCACTATGATCGTCTGTTTTACGTCTTTTCGATATTAATTCGTCTTTACCAGTTAGTGCTGTCGATGATACAGAGCGTTCAAGACGTTTCTAAATACGTACAAAGGATTGATTAATATTGAAATGACAGGCTAATATTAGTATACCTTTTTATTAACTACAGCATTATGTGTTGGCTCTACAATAATTAAGTCGTCTTCATCGTCTGATGATGAAACAGACTCGAATGTTTTTATTAATAGAGGAGATGATGGCGAACAAGCGGAGATCTAAAATAAAAAACAAATTTTTATTTTCTAAACAACAAGTATACCTAGACTCTCTTCCCAATATCCTGATAACGTTAGTCGGAGTCACTACTCTCTAAAATTGAATATATTGCGTATCCTGCTTTTCTTACCTCCATTTGATCATGTTCATAATCCGATACTCTTGTTTTAAATGATGATGAAAATTCATCACTTGTACCCTAAAAAAAAACTTATTTCTCAATATTTGTTAATAAAAATTTTCCTTTTTCTGATAAAATACCTGACTGAAAAAACCGCTGTCTTTTGAATTTTCATTTTCGAATGCTATCAATCGTTCACTAACTGGTAAAGTTATTATAGGTGATCGTTTCTGTTTCTTTTTCGTTGACGATTTTTTTGATTTGTCAAATGTCGTTTTTATTGTAGTTAACGACGAATTTAATCCTGCGTCAAAATCAAATTCATCAAACAAGGACCTACAATGTGCAAAATTATATATTCTTGATGACGATTTTTACTAGAAGCTTTTGTGTAAAAATGATACGACTATACTTCAAATTCTCCGTCTATCTTACTTATCTAAAAATCAAGTTGACCTAACAAAGTATTTAGTCGATTAATTAGAAGAAAAAAAATTATTGAGAAAGGTCTAATACTTACAATCGACTAACTTCATTAATTGGTTTCAAAACGGGTAGTTTTGTTAATTTTTGACTAGATGATGTTAATTGTTTGGAAACAACATATTTTGCGTTATTATTATTATTATCGATAAATGTTTGTCGTCTTAAATTTTGACGAAATCCAAATTCTTCTAAACGTGGTTGTTGTTGTACAACATTGTTATTATTATCACTTATTGAATGAACATTTTCTTTATTAATAGGACAACATGGACGAGTTCGTCTTGTTCTTAAAATAAGAGAAAATGAAATATGAGATGTTGGTGTAAATATAGAATAAAGATAATTATCACTTACTTTGATAATACATTGTTAGGCTTCAAGGATAAGAATGGAGATGTTTCTCCTGTGGAAGATAATGGTGAAAAGTTGTATTGTGGCGATGATTCATCTTCACTCGATGGGAATAACAAACGTCTAGGAGTCATAGGTCTAAAGAAAAAAATCCATCAGGTTAGTCTAACCAACGACTTACAACCCCTTCATATAACAAGTTAAATGTACACAGTTTTTCTATTTAAACACTAGAAGTCTAGACTCCTTATTCTATCATGCACCCATTCGACTTCAGTTGGGAAAATCTGACACTCTGATGATTTCTATTGAAACTATTTAACAAAAGCTACCTGTATATAAAAAGACAAGTATTTATTTGTATAGATATACACAATTTAATTTTCAGATAATATATGTTTAGAATATTAACAATACTATTTAGCACTCTGTTTTAAACAAATTGATACATCATTGTATTTGTATGAGATGTGAAATGCCATTGAAAATGTGTAAATTGCTTTCATAGTTTTCTTTCACTATACATGTTTTTAGCTAGCTGATGGGAGAACGACAAGAAGACGCACTTGTTTGCACTCATCTGCTCTTAACTGTTCAAGAACAGAAAAAAGAACAATAATAGTTAGGAAAGACAAAAATAGAAGCTCAGCTGCTTGACATAAACTATTTAAAGCTAAGTCTTAATATTTTATTATAAAAATTTGTGAATGTCTATACGATATAGCATGTGTTAAGTTCCATCGTCTACCGTTATGATATGACATGCGTTTGTTTCTGTTCTGTCTACTATCGAGCAGACGGACATTCTTCTGGATTTTAAAACACGTGGCAATAAAGAGAGATATCCTCATCAATTGTGATGCTAAATTTCGTTATATATTATCAGTGTCAGTTCAACTGGTTTATGAAAACAGAAATGTATCTATTATGAAAACTTCGTACCAAAATAGTCTGTTCTGTCTAGTGGTGTCTAAAAGCTACCGAGGTTTTCCTATCGTTTCAAGTCACTGCCATCTTCAATATACATCTTATCTCTAAAAGTGTTTAAAAAATGTTTCACGTCTCTTATCATGACGAAAACTGAATATTTAGTCGTTAAAACTATTCTCTAGTTTTCATACATATCACGTACAGGGAAATCGAGAAAACAAATTGTTTCATGTTTACCTGATTATTGTACACATAGCTAATGCTACTGATGATAGTAATAGATAAATGATTATTATTAGAAGGATAATCGTTTTATGTTCAATATGAACAACGAGAAATATATGTGTATTTCAAATACGAAATTTGAAAATAATGAATGTTGATCAGTAAAAATAACTATTAATATGTATAAAAGAACGTAAACAAAAAAAAAAGAAATATATACACATTTTTTCTCTAACGGTTTCTTTTCTTTTTCCGTACATATTTTAACGGCTAAATACAATCTGTTTCCTATTGCAATTAATCGCTTTATATTTTGAAAAAAAATAATGAACGAGCGAAAAAAAAAAAATTTATCTCTCTCTAATAATTATAATTATAATGGCAGAAAACGTTGAAAATCTATTCTTTTTCGTTTCTTCTCTATTAATTTCTTTTTCTTTCGTAGATTTCTCTTTTCTCTCTTCTTCTCTCTCTTGCTGTATATTCGTTAACATATAGTTCAAAAATCAACAATCGAAAATATCGTTAGTACAACGGTCACACAACGAATATGTATTTTCTCTCTTTTTTTTTGAATCTCTCTCTGTACTTTAAATAATCTTGATACAATCAACAATGTTAAAGCATCACCTCCTACGTTTGAACGAATAAATGAATAGAATAGAGGTGTGACAAGGCTGTTGTGTCAGGAATAGCGGCACCATAGTGAGACAGCTTTTTTTTAATAAAAAAGATCCTATATCGACTTAAAATTACAGACATTGTCACATTTTAGGATACTAGATTTATTAACTAACACAAACAAGTAAACAGTAGTTGTCTCATAAAACTAAGTAAATAATGTGTAAAAAATTCAGATTTAATTTTGGTAAATGATATTAAATATAGAAAATAGAAGAATACTTGTATCCTATCTTAAAGTCTTCACTATTCTTCTAATAATGAATGCTTGCCAAAAGTGGCATGCACATTAGCTAACTTTGACACTATCGATCATTTTTTTAATTCGAATTTAGAATAAACATTCCTACTTATATCTCTGTGATTCTATTGTATGTCTATTATTCTTTGGTTCGTTAGATAAATTTCATGTATTATTTGACTCGCCTTTGGGAAACACTTAATAAATTGTTTAAATTATGTAATATGTTCGTTATTATAGTAATGTGAGAGAGAAAGTGAAAGAACAAGAGAGAGAAAGAGATGGAAAAGAAAAATCAATTAAAAAATAACGACGAAAAGGAAAAGTTTAAACGTCTGGTTTCTTTTAAATTGTTTGGTTGAATGCATCATTGAATTACTATTGTTATTATAAATGATAAAAGCAATCGTATACCCCTCACTTTTCAACGAATTTTAATTATTCAACGACTATCTATATAAATTTGAAAAAATGAGTAGTAGATTTAAGTAACAAAGTTACATCTCACAAGGATTACCACCGTCTTTGCCATCATCCTAAAGTTTGTATCAATATGGATCCATTCTTTATAGAAGTTCTACTATTTTTAGATGATTTTTCTGTTTTCTCATTGAGAAAAATGATAACTAAATGATTTTTGAAAGTGTTGTCTACCGCTTCATTTATCTCTTTTTTGTTGGGTCCTACAGTATATATGCATAAGACAAGTCTATCTATAATGCATGAAAGCCAGTTATAAGCGGGACAAACTCGAATGTTCACAACAAGGACCGTTTAAGAGATAATAAAAATAATCACACGCAGCTTGATTAGTAAAGGATAATCATTAGTCACATACGCATATAATAAAACAAATCTATATGTATCTTGAACGCTCGTTAATTATTATATGAGAAAACCATAAAAAAAAAAGGAAAAAAATTGTAATCAAATATAATTTCACTTCTATACAACAAGAACAATTATTATTATCTTTTAAAACGGTGTATTCTCATCGATAAGAAAAGATAATTGTATTGGTACTCACTTTTGATCAGAATATAATCCATTCGATGATGCGACTGATGATAATAGAGTACGTTGTATTGACAATTGAGCCATTTTTCATCAGAAATTTACAATTTTCGAATATCTATCTAGAATAAAATGACAAATCGTTAACAAATTAAGCTCCATAACATATTAGTTTGAAAATTTAAAGAGGATTTAAGGAAAAAAAACTGAAGAAAGGAAAGGAAAAGGAAGCCACCTATAATTCCATTATCCCCCTCTTTTCCAGTGGGCAAATGTTAAAAATCGAATTACGTAGTTGTTTAATAATATTTTTAATGATGAAAATACATCAAAAGAAGGATAAAACAGTTTCTATTTATTAATAATAGACATTATTGACAGTAAATAATTAATTTAATGAACATTTATCAAGAAAAATGTTCATGTTTTGTCATCAAAATCATAAGAAACTTTCTTTTGATGACTATCCTTCGAGTTTCAGATATTTAGTCGCGCATATTTAACTAACTTATCATAGTTATCGAATAATGGCTCTCAAGAAAGATAAAATAGCTAAAGAATTTTTGAGTTAGTAGGATTAAAAACTCATGTTCTTATAGTTTGTTCTAAAGAAGAAGTCGATCATCTTGAGTATTACTGTACAAATTCATATAAAAATATGTCTAGTAGAGAACAAACAACGGGATGCATTGTAATCGAGTCAGGCTAAGTCATTGTAAATTGAATTCTCTACCAAAGTTAACTGAAGAAAACATAAACTTGTTTTAAGTCTCATGCTATGTCCTAAGTCATTTTTATATTTCATTATGGTTGAGAAAATATTTGTATTCTTGTAATTATACTCTACGACCACTTATGGATAAAGTTTTTTAACCAACGCTATTTAACACATTCGTTAAAATGACTTTCTTAACATTACCACTTATTTTCTTAACTTGTTAAAGATCACATAACAAGTCAATAAAAAAACTTATTTTTATGTACATAAAATACCCTCTTCAACTCTTGAATATCTGAATGCCATTTTTGAGAGTATCTTTCGACACGTTTAAGCATTTTTTGACAAGTTTTTGTCTACTTATTTGTTCTTTTAGTATAGTGATCTGAATTTTCTGATTTAACGAGTAAATAACAACAAAACCTAGAATTACCTAGAATTATCATGTATGTGTGATAAGAATTTAGAGTCGCTATTACAATAACTATATGACGCCCATCCACGTCATATTTTTGTTTTTTCCCGAGAAGAAAAGAAAATTTTTCAATTATTGATTACAGTTCAATCTCAGGTTCTGCTCCATTGTGGATCAGGATACTGTTGAAAAACACCCATCCACAGAGTCTCAATAAGAAATAACTCGAAGGTAGCTTTTCTTAAAATAAGTAACACATTCAAATAGTAAATGTCTGTGATGCTGAAGAGACAAGTGGACACTGAAATTCTCCTACCATCTTTTTTACTTACAGTATGAATTAAAATAACTGATCTTTTTGCCTTGGAGTTGAAGAAGAAACTCAAAAACAAAAAGACATCCGTTTTCTACTAATTTATACAAAATAAATGGTGAAAAGAATCATTCCTCAGAATTATATCTTCTGCTCAATTTAATTGAAATTAAAACTATTAGCTATTACTCATTTGCAAATAACGGAAAATGACAGTAAATAAAGTCAATATAGGGAGGTATTAAAATTATTCTGTAAACAGAACAAACCGTAAAAAACAAATAAAGTCAATAGTAGCTGTAAAACAGCCGTGTCTGTTTAATTTGAATATTCATCAGTTTACAAACTAACATTCTCATTTTCATATTCATCGTAACATATTTATTCCTCAATCCGTGACAAAATCATCTTGA